CCCCCTTTGATGTTTGGCTTTCCCTGAATTGCTGATTTTAAAGGATCTCCTGAGGTTTCATTGGTCAGTAAACAGATTTGTCCATGGCAGGCCTGTTTCTGGCATCTGCTTTCACTGACAAAACTTGCCCTTTGAATGGCAGATATGTCACCTAACAGCATATTCATTTTGGGTCTTTGAAGCACTGTGTTTTGTTGTCACACAGTTCCATTCTCCCTTCTTCAAGTAAACTGTGTGGCCTGTTGATTTTATCCTAGGCTAAGGTCAGTGAATTCTTTTTGGCTACTACATCTTGCTAGAATTATTTTTGGCTATCAGAAGTGTTGTAATAAATACACACTCAAGTTTAACGTATTTTATGGGCTGTAGATGCCATACTGTTTTATATAAGAAGTAGCAAGTTAAAACCTGGTGTGGTGATACATGCCTTTAGTCTCAGCACTCAGGAAGCAGAGGCAGGCAGGTCTCTGAGTTCAAGGCCAGCCTGGTCTACATAGTTCTAGGTCAGCTGGGGCTACAGGGAGACCCTGTGTCAAAAGACAACAAAGAAGTAGCAAGTCAAGAAGGTTTTTCTCCCCTTTTAAAAATGAATGTGTGTGTATGTGTTTTTTGACTATCTTTTGCAGGGTTAATAGCAGTTTTTATATGCCTTTTTGATACATATGAATAGTTTTAGAAGAGGAGGAAAGTGTGAAATCTGCTGCAGTCTGGAGTGTTGATATGCCTACCCTGAGCACTTTGAGTTCATGCCAGTCACTAGGCTGCCTCTGCTGTGATGGGATGGCTGGACTGAGAGCCGAGGTGCTGAGCTACTGCTGGTTCTTATATGTGGCCTGTGAGGGGAAAGCCAGGGTTATCACGGTTTCTGAACTGCTTATTTCTGCTTGGTGTTTCTTGTATTGTTTTAAATGTTCAGAATTTTGTTTCTAATTGTTAAACTTACTCATTTTAAGGTTGGCATTCTTATTTGAGTATTTAAATTGTTTAGAAGACTCCCTTCAGTGAAGACTCCCTTTTCTTTGGTGCTAGAATTAGAGAAAATGTGATCATTATGCTTGCTGCTTAGTATTTACTTGAGTGTGCCATCTCAATTACTCAGGGGGTTAGCTAGTGTGGGGTCACTGGATTCTCTGTGGTAGTGCTGACCAGAGCAAACCTGCAGTAACAGGAGGTTAGAAACAACCGATTCTGGGTGATCTTGCTTGCACTTTGGTAACAAGTCTTCATGGAAATGACACACACTAATTAGCTTTCTTATTTTAATTAGAATCAGTCGGATTTGTCAGATGAAGAGCTGAATGATGATCTTTTACAGAGCGATAATGAAGATGAGGAAAATCTCAGGTACTCAACATTAACTCATTAAAACCGATTCTTATTTAACTAAATCGATGGGAAATGTTTATACTTTGTAATTATAATGGAGAGTAATTGAATTACTTGTGGCATTACATTTTTAGCATATAATTACATTCTAAATGGGATATTGGTGCGTTCTGAAGTGGAAGCCATATGGATTGTCGCATAAATAGATTGGCAACTTGCAGTCGCTGTAGATCTGTGTTTACTTTGGTGCAGGCCCTAAACGCCAAGAACTGACTTCCCTGGTGCAGTGGCCTCTGGCTCTGAACGCAGGAGGCTGCAGGTTGATGCTGCTTTTGTTCTCATTTCATTACGTTCGGAGAAAGATACTTAGAAATACCCAGGGAGAATTTTTGGTTTTCTTTTTTTTTTTTTTTTTTTTTTTTTTGTCTTTTTGAGACAGGGTCTCCCTGTAGCCCCAGCTGTCCTGGAACTATGTAGAC